ACGGCTGGGGAAGGGGGCCCGGGCCGGGGCTGTGGACTCGCGCCCGTGTCCCAAGGGCCCCGGGACTAGAACCCAGGCTCTTGTCTCCTCTGCCGGCTGAGAAGTCGCAGCTCTGCACGCGCACAGGCCACCTCCTCACACACAGGACGCCCTGAGGCCACTGGCCGTGGAGGGAGCCGGAAGGTCGGCACTTCTGCCAGCAGATTCGGAGAGAAGGACAAAGCCCCGTGGCCATTACATTGCTGATCCCACCCCTGCCTTTCCCAGCCCCCCCAACCCACACACTTCAGTACCGTCTAGCTCCCCTCAGAGACCAGACTAGTGCAACCCCTCCCTGGCGTTAGCAAGTGCAGGGCTTCGGCACTCCCTGGTGTGCCCTGGCCATGGAAGCACTTACACCACAGGTGTGAAAGGAGAAGAGTGTCGTACACTAGTGCCCCATGCTCTAACTCCACAGTGATCGCACACTAGTGCCCCATGCACTAACCCCACAGTGATTGCACACTAGTGCACGGTGCACTGACCCGCCAGACCGCAGGGGCCTGAGTCACCCTGGCTCCAGGGCTCGTGTCTCATGCACAGTGGTCGCACACTAGTGCACGGTGCACTGACCCGTCAGACCGCGGGGGCCTGAGTCACCCTGGCTCCAGGGCTCGTGTCTCATGCACAGTGGTTGTACACTAGTGCACGGTGCACTGACCCGTCAGACCGCGGGGGCCTGAGTCACCCTGGCTCCAGGGCTCGTGTCTCATGCACAGTGGTTGTACACTAGTGCACGGTGCACTGACCCGTCAGACCGCGGGGGCCTGAGTCACCCTGGCTCCATGGCTCGTGACTCATGCACAGTGGTTGTACACTAGTGCACGGTGCACTGACCCGTCAGACCGCGGGGGCCTGAGTCACCCTGGCTCCATGGCTCGTGACTCATGCACAGTGGTTGTACACTAGTGCTGGATGGAGGCTCGTTGCTTTGGTGCAAGTGCTTCAATGCTGGCCTGTTTGTGCCTCTCGAGTAACTAACCCCCCACCGAAACCAGCACTGACCTTGGCCTCTGGCCGCCGGAGCTCCTAGGAGCGCTCCTCTCTGCACACGTACCGAGGGGCGCCACTCGGGTGCCAGATGGCCACTTCCCAGACGGACACCCCTCCTGCAGCATTACGGCCCGAGGGAGCCAGCAGGCCTCGCCAAGCGCCCTGCCCAGCTGGCTCCTTCCCCGGGGCTCAGGCTGCTCCTGTGCCACCCCAAAGCACTAGACAGCCAAAGGGCCCCTCCCCGCCGGGCGTGTGGCCTGCACCATACCTTGGGCCCAGCGGGGCACCTGCAGCGGCACGTAATCTTCCAAAAACAGGAGCATGACCTTATTGGCCGTGGCGCCGAAGGCGAACCCGAAGGACCACCGGTTGCTGAACGTCCCCACAAAATCCAGGGGTCTGTGAACAAAGAGCAAAGCCTGCAGCTGACTCCCCTGCATCACCGACAGCGGGCCTGGACTGAGGAGGGCTGGCCCGAGCCAGGGCAAGGCGGCCCGCACCCCGAATGCTGATACTTCTGCTTCGCCTGGGGGCTGGTGAGCCTCGGCCCAGAGCTGGGCAGGGAAGGGGTGCGGAGCTCAGCTTCCGGACTGCGAGCTCACCCCCCCGCAGAGCCCAGCCCCGCGAGGCCCGCTCGCACTCACACCACAATGCCAAAGCGGCCCTCCAGGAAGCGCAGTTTCCCGTCCAGCCAAGTCCTGCTGGCTCGGCGCTCGAGGAAGGACAGCACCGCAATAATGGCAAGCTGCAAGGAGAGGAGAGCTGTGAGCGGGTGTGTCCGGGCCACGGGCTCTCGGAGCAGGCACAGGGGCTGGGACCACGGTGCTGGCACAGACGCCCTGGGCCGGGCCGAAGGGAGCCCCGACGCCAGGCCACGCGCTCTTGTGAGTGAGCGCAAGGGAACCGCTCCTCTGCGCACCCCCCCACGCCTGGCCCCCAGGCTCTCGGGAAAGCAGAGCTCCTTTGTGCCCGGCCCGCCCAGGACTCCCTACGGCTGCACACGCGACTGAACCCGTTCCCCGCAGCAAGACTGCCACAGGACGCGAACCTGTGAACAGGACACAGGCGGCCCTGGAGGGTGTGTAAGAGTGAGCGCAAGGGAACCGCTCCTCTGCGCACCCCCCCACGCCTGGCCCCCAGGCTCTCGGGAAAGCAGAGCTCCTTTGTGCCCGGCCCGCCCAGGACTCCCTACGGCTGCACACGCGACTGAACCCGTTCCCCGCAGCAAGACTGCCACAGGACGCGAACCTGTGAACAGGACACAGGCGGCCCTGGAGGGTGTGTAAACTCGCCACGAGGGACACGCCGGCTGGGGGCTTTGGGGCGGCTTGTCCCCCCCAGACGCCGCGTGCCAGTGTGCTGCAGTGTCCTGTCCGCCTCACAGAAGGAGCGCAGAAGGAAACGGCCCCTGCCCACGATGCAGGAAGCAGCCCCTCTGCCCTCGGCTCACTCACCGACGGGATAAGGGAGTAGTGCAGCAGCAGCTCCATGTCCACTGAACCCTCACAAGTGCCGTTGGTCTGCCAGCTCCTGAGACACAAGAGCAGACGACGGCCTGTCAGTGGCGCCCCTCCCGGCCCTTTCCTGGGGAGCGCGTGGGCAGTAACTCAATGCCCACAGGGAAACCGCCCCGCCGCGGTGGGGGCTCACGCCCGCTCCCGACACCGCGATGCGGCAGCCAGCCGGAAGAGGGTCTGGACTCCAGCGTGCCACCAGGCCGCCCACGCGCCCGGGTTCCTCAGCCCAGAGTCAGTCCTGGCCAAAGCGATACCCTGCCCATGTGGAAAGCCCTGCGTGCGACCAGGGGAAGTCTCCTGCAGCCCTAGGCCATAGGGAAGGCGGAGCTCCGTTCTGCACTCCAAGCAGGGAAAATCCGGACTGTCCTCCCGTCCGTATGCGCTTGTGAGCTGGGTGTCTGCTGCCACTGGACGGCTCTCCGGCAGGGCTGCAGGCATTGGCCCTGGCTTGCCCCAGGGCAGGCCCCTCACCTCAGCGCGGCGCAGAGACGAAAGCAGCCTGGTATTCAAAGGGGCTGAGCTCCTGCAGCTCCCACTGCACTCAGAGCCCCCCGACTTAGGGGGTTAGATATGGACGGAGGGGCCAAGGTCGCCAGGAGCCTTTTCAGAACGCCGCTGGCGTGATGCTCGCTGCGCTCGCATTAGCCCTGCATCAGCCGCCGGGGGACCCGCAGCTACCCGCACCCGGGCCAGCCCTGCTCCTTCTCCCGGCCGGCTCCTCTTCTAAGGAGTAGCTCTCGCGCAGCTCCAGGGCGGTGGCCTGCCCAAGTCAGCTCTGCACGCGCCCCCCTTCTCCACACGCGCACCCCCTGGAGTTCAATGCGCGCTCGCCACTGCGTGAGCGGGACAGGCCGAAATGGGCCCAGGAAACGCCGGCAGGTCCCCGTCCCTGCAGGCTCAAAGCTCCGTTCATGGGCACAGGGCACTGCAGCGAGGCCTGGCACACACAGTTCACGGGCCAATGGGCCACGGTTCTTTCAGTTGCACTGGGGTGGCTTCCTCCGAAGACCATGAGTTTCACTTCAGCAGAACTGAAAGCAGAACTTGCACCAGCATTAGACATCTGCCCAGGCCCCTCCCTGCCGATAGTCCCAAAGCACGTCACAAGCTCCATGGACGAGTGCCCCCCGCCGGGGCTGAGCGCAGCAGGACCGAGGTGAAGCAGGCTGCCCGGGGTGGGGAGCGAGGGGGTGTGGTCTCTCTCCCACCAGATGGGGATCAGAAATCCAGAGACAGGAGTGCAAACAGGACTGAGCTCGGAATCGGACCTCTGGACTCCGACTTTGGGAGCAGGACTCTGGGAAAAGCCATGACCAGAGGCTTAATGTCCACACAGGACAGACCGTCCTTCCTAAGTTGTCACCTGAAATCCCCCAGCTCGCTGCAGGGCCTGCCTTTTGCCTGCCTTGGGAGGGGGACGGGAGCTTTGAATCTAAAAGCAAGCCAGAAAGTGTTCTGTGGTGCAGATGCCCTAGCTGGCAGCACAAAGAAGCTTTGCAGGTAATAGCTAAGTTTGATCAGCAAACTACCTGACATCAGAAAGTTCAAATTTAAGCCCTCCAGAAAGAAAGGTGGGAAAAAAAGAGTCAAACCTGAAACTGAGAATCTAAAAATCTCAGGATCTAAAAACAAGCAAGAAAAAGGATTTATGTTTGCACAATGCTAAACATGGAAACAGATACAAAAGGGGGTCTGTATAGGCAAAGATTTAAAGATGCTAACAACAAACTGGTCTCAAAGATAAGTAGTCTAAAGGAATGCTTTTAGAAAAATGGTCATTGGAAACACAACTCACCCTGAAAATTCTCCGGAATTACAGTAATAATGCTTCTTGGCTATTCTCTATGCATAAACTTGACACAGCAGAAACTTGCTAACCTAGTCTGCTGTACAAGAAGAAAACTGAAGTACACCTCCTGAATGTGATGATTACACAGTGGGGTAATTCACCCAAAAGAAGGGGTAGAAACCACTGAAACCTGTTTTGCCTACAAAACAAAAATATGTAACTACAGGAGTAATTGTAAGCAAAGAGAGGAGTGAAAGCATATTTGTAAAAGAGAAAGTATGTAAATAATAATGTGCCACTCCCAAAGGGGTAGAAGTATGTTCTTTTTTTTTTTTAATCTTTCAGAAAATCAGGACAAGCTGGTACCAGCTGAACACCCTATAACACCATGGATGTATTGTTGCAACAAAGATTGTTTTATGTTTTGTGTTTGTCTAATGTCTGTCTGTCTTACTAGCTAGTATACTGTGTTAAAAACGATACTGCGTTAGGCAGGAAGGTTTAATAAGCATTATGCATTTTGAGTGTATTTACAGACACCAGTATCTCAAAAGAGTACAGGCCAAGGAATTTGAATCTTGCTAATTGGAAAAAGTGGTAAAGATTCATTTAAAAGAAAAACTATGCATGAAGCACAAGGTTTATCTATTGATAAAAAACAAACAAACTTGAAGGAATAAACTTAAAGCACAAGGTTATATTATAGATATGTGAAAACATTGGATAAAAAAAAATCAGTGTTAACTGGAATGTTTAAATCAACTTTCCCCCTCTGACAATTATGCTATTGTTAGCAGGGAGTTTATGGGATCAATACAGGAGGCATTTCTTTCAACTCCCTGTGCAGCAATGTATATGATGTAACTATATTTTACACATAAGGGTTGGTCACTCAGACTTCCATCTTATTGCAAAATATTGTTTATTAAAAGTGTTGCTGGATAAAGAGAATATTTGTTGAATTACAACCACAAGCTCAAACTGCTTCTCATATATCACCATTAATTAGTTATATAAAGTGTGACTCACTCAAGAATTGTTCTTGAGGGGTCAAAAGGGGGACAATGTGGAGAAATCCCTGTGATATTATACTTTGTATTAAGATCTTGTCCTTTTAGATCTATCTTTAAGTGTTCTTATAGAATCTCTGGAACATTTCTCCTATAACTTTGTATTCAGATATACAGATCTTGTAAGAAAAAATGTCTTTTGAGCGCTCCCCTTTCCTTGATTGCCCTGTTGCAATGAATGAGGTGTGAATGGAGACTGAAAGGGAAGCACCTCCAGCAGCAGTTGCCAGGGTGGAGAAGGTCTGGGAGCCAGAGCTAAGACAATACCTGCAAAGTGAGCTCATTAAGAAGACTGGACAGACAGACGCCTTGGGAGTCCAGCAGCAAGTGCCTGCCCTTGGAAGAACTCTCTTTGAAGCAGTATTACAAAGGCCAGGTGATGACTAACTGGCTGCAGGAGAGGGATAAATAGGAGGCGTCTTGCAGAGGGACCTTCGGTTTTCGTCTCGTCAACATGGGAGCATCGATCAGGATCGGCAGAAGCCTGGCTCCACCCCTCCCCCATCTAACTCACCGGGCCAGTGCAATTAGGGGGAGCAACTGTTGGTAACAACAAGACGGAGTGAGTGTGCTTGTGAGTGTGAGTGCACGAGTGTGATGTGTCCTATGCATCTGATCAGTACTGGTTATCCTATGTGTGATCAGTACATGTGGCGTGTTGCCTTATCCCCCAGGAAAAGATCCAGCGCTTCTTTGCAGTACAGCGCCCTGCCATGGCCATGCTCCTTTCGCTCCTTGCTGGACTTGTGGCTTATTTTCTTAGTTCCCCGTTGCTCCGGCGCAGGCAGAAAACGAGCCTAGATCCCGCTGGCCAGACCTTTCACTTTCACAGCGGGGCCACTCTGCCCTTGCGGACCCGGGAGTTATCCCCCAGGAAAAGATCCAGCGCTTCTTTGCAGTACAGCGCCCTGCCATGGCCATGCTCCTTTCGCTCCTTGCTGGACTTGTGGCTTATTTTCTTAGTTCCCCGTTGCTCCGGCGCAGGCAGAAAACGAGCCTAGATCCCGCTGGCCAGACCTTTCACTTTCACAGCGGGGCCACTCTGCCCTTGCGGACCCGGGAGAGGCAGG